AAAAGCTTTCGTGTTCAATTGAAATGTGCGCCTGCGGTAAACAAAATGTGCTTCACTGCAACACAGTGGGGACGCACAGGCAGCATATCGCATGCTTCTCGCAACATTAGCGTGTCATGATTTACTCATTTTTTCTGGCAATATAAAGAAATTAATTAAGGACACTCTGGCGGAATCCGCGATGTATGCAAACCTCCGAGTGCTGGTTTCTCCAGCAATTGGCGCACTTGCACTGCTGGCATAATTCTTGCCCTCAATGTCTACATTGGAAACTCGTTTCGAAAGTTTCAATGATCGCGTTTTCCAAGCAAAACATAGCGAATTTCGTCACACTGTCTATTATCAAATTCTTTATTTTACTAGAAAGAATGGGCGAATCGTCACATCAAGACGTGTTAACGCAGCGAAAAGCAGCTGACATGCTGCCCGCATGTCACTGCTGTGTTGCAGTGAAGTCTTATTTTACGCAGGCGCGCATTTCAGTTGATAATTTTTTTTTCTCCTGACAGCAGCAGGGAGGCCCAGTGTTCCCCCTTGTTTGCGGCAAAACTGTGACCTTGTATTGCTGGAAAACATGACCCTTGAAGCTGCAAACTAGCCAGCACAGCAAACGACCAGTCTTGATTATACTTTGAATACTTTTAAGTTCGTTGCATCTAACTTTTTGTATGTTCTGCTAATTCGAAAACCCACTTATTTGAAGATTTATCATGGTCCCAGTAACTTCTAATTAACGAGGTTCTACTGTACATGTATATTTGAGTGCATATAACTCTCCTGTAAAGGTAGTTTCACTGCAGCATGCAGGGGATACATCATGAAACCACCCATTCAAGCAAAATCCACACCGCCATGAAGTTGTACTTTAAGGTTAAATGTACATATTACCTTCACCTCAATTACCTATTTTTTTAATTGTAAAAGCATGTTATACAGGCTTATGTGCACTAAAAATAGCAACTTTTCAAACTTAACACATTGCACCAGTTATAACGTGGACCCTCGAGCCGTGCAGATCTTGCTACTATTCAACGTTGCTTACAATCATAGCTCGACATACTCACTCATGAGTACACTCGCTCACACTCATTCATACTTATTTGAACGTGGTGAGTGTGAGTATGAGTGAGTACTGATGAGTATGAGTAGGAGTGAGTAGAACATGAGTGAGTACTTATGAGTATGAGTAGGAGTGAGAAAGGACGTGAATTAGTACTTTCATTGTGAGTATGAACGTGAGTGGGTGCTCATGAGTGTGAGTATAAGTGAGTATGAATGTGAGTGAGTACTCTGAGTGCGAGTAGAATTGAGTATGAACGTGAGTGAGTATTCATCAGTGTGAGTAGGAATGAGTGAGAGCTTGTGAGTGTGAGTAGGAGTGAGTATGAACATGAGTGAGTACTCTGAGTGTGAGAAGGAGAGAGTATGAACGTGAGTGAGTAGGAGTTTGAACATGAGTGAGTACTTATGAGTGTGAGTATTCGTTAGTATGAACGTGAGTGAGTATTCATAAGTGTGATTAGGAGTGAGTGAGAGCTCATGAATGTGAGTAGGAGTACTAAGTACGAACGTGGGTGAGTACTCATGAGTGTGAGTAGACTTGACTGCGAAGGTGAGCGAGTTGCTGTGAGTGTGAGTTACTACGAGTGTGATAAATATTTGTAACCATCGCAACAACGTACTCAATACGTTGAAAATAACGGGCACTCTGGCATGCAAGCTTACTGTACATAAAAGCCTTCAGTTAGTTTGCAAACTGGGGGAGCCATCCTACATCATATGGGGGGGGGGGGGGGGGGTGACCGCGCAAAACCCGAGTTGAGGGTAGCCGCCCATTTTATTGTAATTTGAATTTTCTAGGCTGAATAACTTTGAACTGCCTGTCCCTATAGCTACCGTTCTTGCTGCACTTACCTCTTGCGCCTTCAGTCTACGCAACCCGCTGATAATACATGTAAAACAACAAGGTCTTGAGAAGCCCTTTAACAAAAATCGCTGCGCGAGCCGGTTCAGAAAAAAGAAATGCACTGCGCAAGCGACAAAAAAAAAAAAAAAATAAACGCTGAAATGGCCCGCGAGAGAAAGCACATTGTGTACGCGACGCACATTGTGCGCAGCGCTTTTGCAGTTTCTATCTCTGCGTTGTCCCTCAAGTGAAGGTTGCCTTGAACGAAAACCTTAAGTGATCTCATGACCTCTCAAGCGCGAAGCTGTGTGCGAACTTCACCTTCTCAGTGCCCCATTAAGAAAAAAAAAAAAAAGAAAGGAAAGCTTGGAGGACAGTTGAGCTTCGCCGTCAATAGTATAGTATGCGATAGCGTAATAGGACCCTGTTCGCATCGCCGTTTTAATCTCTACCCTCCCTTCAGTTTTCGGCAGCTTATTATGCCTTCAACAGTGCAGACACAATGTGCAATAAGCGCCCAATCACGTTTGATGAATTATTCTATCATTCACATAACGTGGACTAATACAAAAACACACATAACGCAACTCGTTAATTACTGTTTCATTCGGCTGTCTGCGATAACCCTGCGTACGCACACTGCCAATGAACGTTAACCGCGTCCGCAGATTCATAAATAAGGCCCCCTGCAATCGTCAGTGCCGGCACGGAGCCAACAAAGTCTCCGCGTGAGCGCGACCCACAGAGGAAGGAAAACATCTCCGAAGATGCGCACAATTTCTCGAATGCGAAACTGCCGTACGCAACGCATTCCATCTGAAGGCGAGGCAGAGAGGGGAGGCGCCGTCTCGACGGTCGCACCGGGCCAAAGAACACCTACCAGTGGCCGGGGTGGCTGCGGCGCCAACGTGGCGGCGAGGCCCCGGCGCCCGCCTGTCCCGCTAGTGCAGTCAGAAGGGGCTAGGGGCAGTGGAACGAACGAAGCGGCCGAGCCGGATGGCATGGCAACGTCTTGGGTTCCGGCGGGTAATCATAGCGGCCGCCGTGTAGTATACTGAAGCTGTTGAGAGCGTCTCTATCGTCGTAGCTTACGAAAGCGCTTCATAATCTCATCTCCCCACCTAACTTACTGTCTCCCCCTAACCCGTTTGCTTTCTCTGGAAATCCTGTCAGTTATGCTTAATGACCAGCTGTTATCCTGCCTACGCGCTACATGCTCGGCCCATGTCCATTTCTTCTTCTTGATTTCAACTATGATATCCTTCACCCCGGTTTGTTCCCTGATCCACTCCGCTCTCTTCTTGACTCTTAAGGTTACAACTACTATTTTGCTTTCCATCGCTCTCTGCGTCGTCCTCAATTTAAGCTGAACCCTCTTTGTAAGCCTCCAGGTTTCTGCTCAGTAGGTAAGTACCGGCAAGATGCAGCTGTTATATACCTTCGTCTTGAGGGGATAATGATAATCTACCAGCCATGAGCTGAGAATGCTTGCCGAATCTTCTCCACCCCACTCTTATTCTTCTAGTTACTTCAGTCTTGTGGCTCGGCTCCGCAGGTACTACCTGTCCTAAGTAGACGTACATACCTTTTCCAACTTCAAGTGCACTGCCACCTATCTCGAAGTGCTGTTTTCTTTCGAGGTTGTTGTTCATTACTTTCGTTTTCTGCCGGTCATTTAGTAGATTCCGAGAGAAGGAAAGCGGGAAAAGGGGAGACAAAGTTTGGTGGGCAGGTGAGATTGGGAAGTTTGCGGGTATGAAGTGGCAACAGCAAGCAAAGGACCGAGTTGACTGGCGGAACAGGGGAGAGACCTTTGTCCTGCTGTGATGATGATGACTATGTGAATGTAAAAGTACATGGGTGAGTGCACCTGAGTATGGGTAGGCGTAAGTATGAAGGTGAATTCTTATGTGAGTGCGGAGGTGAGTAAGGGCCTATGATCTTGAGCAGGCGTGAGTATGAAGGTGAGTGAGTAACTACGAGTCTTAATTGAGGTGCACGAAAAATTGAAGTACAAAAAGGAGACACCTGGACACGGCGCGCTGTCTCGAGGTGTCTTCCTTTTGTACTTCAATTTTTCGCGCACCTCGGTTAAAATGAACTACCAACTCGCCCAGCAGTCCGTGTTTCTCTAAGAGTGTGAGTAGTCGTGAGTATGAACGTGAGCCATGAACAATGAGTGTGAGTAGGTGTGAGTTTGAACGTGAGTGACTGTGAATATGTGTGAGTATGAACATGAGTGAGTACGAACGTGAGTGAGGGCCTATGAGTGCTAGCTCGCGTGAGTATGAATGTGAGTGAGTACTCACAAGTGTGAGTAGTCGTTAGTATAAACGTGAGTGAGGGCCTAGAGTGTGAGTTCGCGTAAGTTTGAACGTGAGTGAGTACTCATGAGTATGAGTGAGTATGAATATGAGTGAGTACTCTGAGTATGAGTATAAGTGAGTATGAACGTGAGTGAGTACTGATGAGTATGAGTGAGTATGATCGTGAATGAGTACTTTCAGTGTGAGTAGGAGTGAGTATGAACGTGAGTGAGTACTCTGAGTGTGACAAGGAGGGAGTATGAACGTTAGTGAGTACTCATGAGTGTGAGTAGGCGTGAGTAGGAACGTGAGTGGGGGCCTATAAGTGGGAGTAGACGTGAGTATGAACGTGAGTGAGGGTGAAGGCTGAAAAAATTGTGGTGAGTATGAGTGAGTAGTCTCTCAAAGTGCCGACCTATGCTTACAATTCACCTCAACCAAAAAAAGTGACCTTCGGAAATGCGTAGCTCCAAATGCATAAACTTATTGTGCAACTTTGTTGGATTATGACGAAAATGCTAACGTTTTCTTGATAATATGATATATACTATTCAAACTTTTTCTTTTGCAATTATGAGACCAAGTCACAATTCATTTCTAACCTCAGACTTATTATTTGCCCACCTCTAGCCAACACGATGCCCCACTTTCCAGTGTTACACATTGTTGTGTTTTAACAGAGAGACTATTCAAGAATGCGGTTCAGTTAAATACCTCACTAGTAGATGTTCTTAGCATAGCCATCGAATAAACATGAACCATCACAAGCGATTCAGTGAGATACACACCTCTTCCAATTTTGAAGGAGTAAAGCAGTTCGCCGAATGGCCGGAATGCGGTTTCTTTCGGAAGTATCGACACGAACTCATCTATGTTCGTGTGGACGCCAGATGGCAACTTCTCCAAGACAGTTTTGAGCACATCATCAGCCTGGAAGCAACAGAAATGCTGCGGTAAATTTTTTTAACCAGCGGACATGCTTTTCAAGTTTAAAGGGAGTAAACAGCAGTTATTCAGGCATTCTAGCAATATCTGCACTGCTGATGACTCACTATTACAATCAATGGAGCACAAGAAACCTGGACACGCAGCTTAAACCGGGATATTTCAGGCAATAACGAGCGTAGCCGGCTTATGCACGCGACAAGAAGTAAACAATTACAGCCTCAGAAATGCAACTAAACAATTACAGAAATGTAAGCAATTACTGTTGCATTAAGTTCCTTCAAATTCTATTGTCATAAAACAATAACAGAATTCTACTCAAGCTATGATTAACTACTGTAACTTGTATGATAGAGAGAACACTGAAAGCTTACTGTGGTTTATGTTATAGTATAGTGTTCTACCAACAGGAGGAGTTGCTTTAAAATGTAGTTGTTGCCTATTCTTTCACATTTTGCAGTTTAGAGGTCAGCTGCTATGCATTAAACAATATTATATGTAGAAACACCTCGCGCTTCAGCTCACGATTACGCAGTGCTTCGACAAAGCTGGCACCCGGCATTGCAGGTAAGGCCAAGAAAAAGGAGATAAAATGGCCTTTGTGTAGACCGCCCAAGACCCTACTGTCTACGGAGTGCTCGCATACTTTTTGGGAGAACTGCTCAAGAAGACTGGTTAAAAGTTGATTTGGGAGAGAAAAAGTAATTGATAAACAATAATCAATTAGAAGGAAAATGTGTGTGAATAATGTTAGCCTTGAAAATACACTATATTACAAAATTACAAGAAAATGTATTTTACTAGAACTACTCAATTACTAGTAATGTGTCACTTGAAACACTGGAGGGTAGTAACGGTACACTTCCTGCCGGTAGTATAGTAAAGTTGTGACTTTTTCAGAGATGTGCATTTACAGTGTAGTGCTAACAGTGACTGCAAAAAAAAAAAAAAAAAAAACTTGCAGCCACGCATCTTAATATTTTTCAGTCTGCTGCCCCTAATGTCCAATCAACTGATGCAAGTGGAGTTGTGTCCACCCCAGTCGGACAGTCCAGTATGAAGTCTGTAATGCTCTAGGGGCTCCACACCTCCACCTAACTGATTTAACACTGCTCTTTTGTGAAAAGGGAAAGTGTTAAACCTGTGACCTCAACTCGGATAAAGTAATACGGCGCCTGGGATTCTGTTGGGTGACGTGAAAGGAAGAAACTTCTTGATGACATCGATGGTTTTTCGCAGTAGCATAGTTTGCGGCGCAGTATGGAACAAACATCATCAGCGTACCTTTAGGCCGTCGCTCTTTTTCAGATCGATCTTCTCGGTGTAGGACATGCCGAGGTATGGAGTCAGCGAGCAGGATCCATAGTAGAGTTTCACGTGCAGGTCCCGGTAACCAAAGATGCTTTCCCTGAAAAAGTAATGAAAAAAATAAAACGTGAAGGTGAGAAAGATCAGACCAATGAAACTTTTTCCCTGAATTTCTAATCATTGCTGTTGGGTGTTTCATTGCTCAACTTTTCAAGACACATTCTTTCGTGAATTTGTTTTAGTTATGCAGTGCCCTTGCTCTAAATTATGCTTCACTGCAGAATGATTTTTCTTTTGAATGTATATGCCAGGATCATTTTGTAAGTGTATGTTCTTACTTCAAACAATATTGTGAGTGACTATATTATTAATTTCGCTCTTTGTATTAACAACTGCTACCATCATATCTGTCTGCCATGAAGTGTTGGCTGCTTTCTGAAATTGTCATTACAGTAGCTTCTAGTCCGGACTGCAACCATGACGTATTATGTTTTGAGCCCGATATTACAGCCCCCGAAGCTTCTTCATAAACAGCCTGAATGTTCGACTTCTCTGCAGCCAAACTACACTGCAGGCCATGGTGGCTGGTAAAGTGTGCGTTTATTTAGACCCATAGTAAAGAATCCAAAATGGTTTAAATAAATTCAGGGTATCCCACGACAGAATGCCCCCCCCCCCCCCCCATCATAAGCATATCACAATATCAGCATGATAAACTCCAAATGTCAATTATCATAAACCATTAAACACTGCACATTTCTAACTAGCCGAGTGGCTCTAATTTTTCCCAGCAAAGTAATAAAAATAACAGTGCTAGTAAACGTCTTTCGAAATGTTGCAAACTAATATCTATGTAAACTTCTTGTTTCTGTAAAGAACCACGAGCAAGTGACAGAAATGCAGCAGCGAATTAACACAAGGGCAAACAATGAAGATATGACCTTCGCAGGAGATCCATATTGGAATGAGAATGTGCAGACGTCACCAAACTTTAACAATGCTTTGTAGTTAACTTTTAACGGCTCAACTCGAATGAGACAGTGTCATCAATACTGGGGGCTTGACGCTACAAGGTGAAAAGGCAGCAATTGTTCACTCAAAATCACCATCAGCTTCACAATGACGTACCTTGAGTCCCAACAAATCTTGCTAATAATTGTAAAGCTAGCTTCACTACAAGGCAGTTTGCAAAAGTATTGACTTTTTTTTTTTTTTTTTGCACAACACTTAGTTAACATCAATGCGACTGCCTGTAAGGCTGTGTTATCATCAGTATGCGAAGCAAACGTATGGATCACTCACACCTGAGGAGTATGCAATGGGAGTGCTAAATTAGCACTCTCCGAACTGCAAAAAAAAAAAAAAAAAAAACGCATGAATGCGCTCAAGTGCGACGCCTTCTGAGCTTAGCCAAATGGCGATTTCTGCGGACTGCATTCAGAGGCACAAATCATTACATGGTGATTGCCACGTTGCTTACAAAGTAGGAACGAGTGGGGAAGAAAAATGAACTTCATTGAAGGAGAGAGTTGGAATCACATCATTCTTCCGGAAGCCGTAGCTCTACTGCAGGCCATCGTGTTCCGTCTAAGGGTCAGCTCCTTAACTTAACGCACCCATTATCATTCGAAGAATGTTCATAATTTCTTTAACCTATGGATTAGATTTTGGATCCTCACCATCTTCCTGCTCAGGATCTAAACCCAAACAGTGACCTGATTCCCAAATGAATCCGATAAAAACAATGTGTGAAAACCAAAAAAGCCACCAGCAACACTGTCATCCTGTATATTGGTTAAGCTCATTAAAACTTACGAAATGGACCTGCACTGAAAACCACAACAGCAAGTTCAGACTCACACTTTGTAGTATTTAGCGAGTGCTTGAATCAAATCCGCATCAGCAATCCGCAACTAGCAATGTCCAAAACTTGCGTATATCCACACAAGGGGCGGGTGCGGGGAGCGCGAACACAGCCCCACACATTGACATAATAGGGAGGGAGGGCACTTTGACTCGAGAAGGAGGAAAGTCTGCCCCATTCATTGACCTAATAGACTTTTTCACTGAAGACCCCCTGGTTGCTGCCATAGTCCTCACTGGGCTGTTGTTAACATGTATGACCCACCCAAAATCGACTGCCGAGGGTGTGACGTCGGCTTTTTGTGCTCCCGTGCAAAAACCAAGAAAGGAGGGGATCCTGCTCTCCTGTTAAAAAGGTCTATAGGGAGGGGGGCACTGCAACAAACTTTTGCCCCCCCCCCCCCCCCCAAGAGAAACCCTGTGCACGCACGCCTATGTATACTAAGAGAAGCGAAGCATGCAATCAATTTCAAGACTTCTCCTCAACATAGACAACCTAAAAAATAAATGTGCACTTTATTACTGACTGTTAGCCTTTAAATGCAGAATATAAACAAGAGCAAACTGTAACAGTGGAGATTGCCAGGCCACACATTATTTGTTCACAATGACTTTTTACAGCTACTTCATTACTAACTTTACCTGTTTCAAGAACATGATTGTGAAGTCTTTTTTGAGAGAAATTCCCCTCTGACATGTTTTTTGTTTTCACCATTGAACTTTCAACGAAAGGGTCTGAGATCTGCCCGTGAAATTCTTTCGTGAACAGACCCTATGCTTTGTCAAGCTAGGCATATTGTAGAAGTGGCTGAAGTTTATAAATGTTACATATAAGTTTAAAGATATACCTTGAGGCTTTTACTTTTGCAAGGTAACAAAGAGGAAACCTACACTGTACGTGATAGTTGGGCAGTAGTGACAACGCTCAAGCGACAATAAAGATTTAGGCCATGATGTTTTGAGAGAGAAGAAATAGAAAAATTATGCACCAATGCTAGCGACGCCTTGTTATACAGTACAAACAATTAAGGCGGCTTGAGACTAGGCGTGCAAGGCCTGAAGAAAGTGCACAGCTCGGCAGCCTTCTTTCTCTTAGTTTTTTTTCTTTTTTAAACTTCATTTTATCTTTCTTCTCTCTCTATCTATTTTCCCCCTTTCTTTACTTCTTGCATGCTTTCTGCTTTTTTTTTTTAAATTTTTATGCGTGGTTTTGCCTGCGTTCGCCAAGACAACATACGACAGCGCGATCCTCTGAAGTGCTCTGCACTTATCACTTTCAAGGCACACGCACAAAATGCGGAAGACTTCTTGGCACGAGCGCGCACTCAACATGCTTCAGTGCTCAATATGCTAATCATGGTTTTGACGGCGTTTTGCGCCAAGCTACGACAGTCCGGCCAACTAAAGTTCTCCGCACTTAAAATTCACTGTCATAAGATAACATTTACAACCAGTTGTTATGACTCTATAATGCAATTTTGATAAGGGAAACATTAAACAGCGGCTGTTTGTAGGTGTTATATTATGTAAAATGTAAAGTAAGATTCGCCGCATTTAGGGCCACAGAAGGCGTAAGGATAAGAAAGGAACTCGCAGCTGAAAGAGGTGTGAAACGTGCGTCGATGTGCAGCGCGGCGATTGTTTCTGAACACAATACATGCACGCCAAGCGATGCTATGGAAACTACCCACGCCGGCTAGTCCACGCAACCGGCAAAGTCAAGGTAGGTGCGAAAGCGTGCTTCCTTACCCTTCCCCGAAGATTTGATGTGACATCTCCGGTTGAAAGGCGATGTCATCGTCTTCGATGTCGTCCGTCGTCATAACTGGAACGATTCCAGCACAGCGTTGAGTAAAGGTGCGCCAATTAACAGCGCCAGCTTCTTACCCAACTTGAAGTGGACGACATCGTTCGCCGAGACGACGTAGGCCTCCAGAGCCGCTTTCGACAAGGAGACAGCTACGAGCAACAAGAAATCACGATTGTTCAGCACAACAGCAAATATAGATCACCGGCAATGCCGCAGCTGGCAAGGAGAAAAAAAAAGTGGACCCGACTAACTTTCTACAATTGTTTTTTTGAAAGTAAGAAATAGTACATAATTGCTGAATATGCAACGACTCACGTTGCATACTAATTAATAAGCGACGCATACGCAGAAGTGAAGACTTGCTCGCCCAATTTAAACGTTCGAAGGTAAACGGCGTAGTTTCAGCTACTCCCAGACGCAAGTCCGCGCTAGCGCTTTAGGTGAAGGTAAATGCCACAAATATTATTACAATCAGAACGACGTGCAGATGCGTTTAGAGTAATAATAGTGATTTTGCGTGTTCCCGAAAGTGTCATTGTACAATTAGTCCCACACTACGCGCTCAGGCGGTGCCTTTACACCGCCAACACGGCACTACAGGTACTCACCCGCCATTTTCATTGCTTGTTTTCCCGCCGAGTCACGTTTCGCGCATTCGGAAATGACGTCGCCTTTTTGAGTTAAAGTTGGGACCAATCGCGTTGCGCCAAAGATTTGTCCAATGGGAGCGAAGAATGCAGACTGCTGCTTCCCCTTTCACATCATGGCCACTGAGAATGCTGAAGTGACCTTGCTGGAAGAAAAGGTACGGCAAAAGTTAGGATGTTTAGCTCGTGAGGATAACGAAACCGCCTTGCGTTACACTTTCCTTAGTTCGTGTTCTAGAGTTATGCCTGTTTTTTGTTGCATTCTTTTTGTTTTATCCTGCATCTTTCTGTATCTAGGCCGGTATGGAAGATTACGGTCTCTTGAGCTTGCTCCTCAGCCGTGCATCATGCGAGGTATGATATTGAAGCCCGGTGCCGGTGAAAATGTTCTTGCTTTTTTTTTGTTTCGTTGTTACTCATCGCTCTGTTTCATTTCTGTGTGATTGCTTTAGCTCACCCCTATGCTTAGCGGACTCGCGCACTAGTATTTGTCCCGAACGTGTCAGCTCTATGGTCCATTACACATAGTTCTCTCAATACACTCCGCCGCCGCTCACCCCAACATCCCGATGCTGAGAGTGTGACCGTTGTAGGAAAAGGACGTTCGTGCCGCTAGCGAGCGTCCGTATTTTACGACTGCTTCACATATGACTTGCTCGGAGCTACTGCAATCGCTCCTCGTCTTATCTGCACCTTGCTTCGCTGACGCTTCATTCATATACATATGCTGCTCTTTACAATTACACGGCGTTGTAGGATGACCACGAACTGTGCCACGTTTTCTTTTCTTCTGCAGAAAAAAAAAAAAGGGCGTATACCACGCGCAGTATACATCGGGTCGATGAGTAGCTCCGTTGTAATCCGTTGGCGAGAATTTGAAAGCGCCGATGTTTGTAGTTTAGGTAGATAACTCTAGTAAACTATAGTAACAGCTATGAATTTTACGTTGTGGCAGCAACTTTCAGTTGATAACGCATTGGAGCATAATTCGTTTTGCATTCGTTATAAACATCGATTGTCTGTCGTGGAAGTTATTCGAGAGAAGTGGGATTGGGTGGTGTCACAAGAATTAAGTAAGTTTAGCTTGAGTCAGTGGCTGGGTGTTTGTGACGCGCTAAAAAGACGCGTATTCATAATAATCTCGCATCAGAACTTAATTGCTTGTACCGAACATAGGCTATAAAATCTAAACAGCTATCGCTTCATTAAAGAGCGCCGCGATTTTTTGTTTTCTATTGAAACCAACTGCACGCTACTACAGCTGATTATGTCCGAAAGCGGTGAAATTGCGGCCTGTCAGAGTCATCTATGTTGTTTCGAATTAACTGCTCGTGAAGACATCTGCACATTAAGTTCAACATAGCGCTAGTAGGGCAGTCTTGGTATATGTCATTTGTTACTCTGTGTTATCAAGGTCATTTCAAGAACTGTTATGTCAGGAGCAGCTGCAGCATGTCTTTGCCTGCTTGCAAGCGTGCACATTTTGCAGCATTGGGCAAATTGATCAGTCTTTAATTCCCACACATGTGTGCAACTATTTTTTGAAGGTATGTCTGTCATGGGTGCAATGACAGGCTTGAAAAACAACCTATTTGAGCTGACACTTTTATTTTTGTTACTATTCAAGATTCTGACGTTGAATAGTGCAGTCATTAAAATAGCCTAATGTTGATAACAAGCTGTCAATTCAGTAATACAGCACGTCCTTTATTTTGCTTGTTTTTTGGGGGCTGCTACATGTCAGCGCTGTAATTTGTGCAAATTTTTCAGGTGAGATGCACGCATAACTACATGCATGAATTCGTTACACTGTGTAGCGCCAGCTAAGCTCGCTCGCTCTCATTCACTTTCCGAGAGCTACTAGTTCAACAATTCAAACTTTTTTTTTATTATACTTGTGGTGCATTGCAGGGAAGCCAACAATACATACGACGAGCTGACAGTGACAGGCTTCGTGAGGTCTTTGATAAGGTGAGCGCATAAATTTTTGTTGTGTGTATGATAAGATACTTGAAGCATAACGAAGAAAGTTCGCAAGGAACCAAGGACTTAGGGATGGACTAGAAACCCGTAAATAGTGTCAAGATGGGAAGTGTAAATTATAGAGCAAACTGGCGGAGCCGATGTTCTAGTTAATATAACTATTTAGAGCAGATAGGTTAAGTAATGTGTAGATCAGATAAGAAGTAGCCGACCAAGTTTGGATGAAGGGTACCAAGGGAAGGAAACAGTAATCAGGTCCACAAAAGAGGATTAAATTATGAAAGGTAAGCTCAGGTGGTCAGCAATAATCTATAGTTTTCCACCGCTGCCTGCGTCATAGTAAGGTCATACCTTGCCTTGAGAAATGCATGAAGTTATTCAAACTTACTGTGCGTGGGATGGTTATGACCAGGTACGAACCAGAAGGTAATTTGAGATTACTGACCGGTACTTTATTTCGGGTGTGTATTTAGGATAGGCAGATCAAGAAAACGTGTTTCGTTATTCATCGACCTGCCTATGTTTTGTGCCCTGCAGTACGCCAGTGTACAGAAAGATGGCAGCAATTACATGACACCGAATGACTTCGTGCGAGGCTTTCTGGGCCTGTACGAGGGCCCCCAGTATAACCAGCAGGCGGTCAACATGCTCGGAAGCATTCTTGACACTTCCAAAGATGGGTGAGGAGTGTTGCATGTAGACTAAACATTCTGCTAGGTCGTTGTGTGCTACTTTATTCCAGCATAACCCATTTTTTAAATCTTTGGGGGTGAAGTTGACTTGCGACATTCCTGGCATGAATTCGTCCGGGTTAGGCATTAAACCAATATCAGGCTGGCAATATTGCACGCAACTGTATTGACAACATGCAATCAATAATAAAAGCTACTGACTGATTGGTACTTGTGGTCAGTCTGACACACTCCTAACAGCTGGTTTGGTTTAGCATGTCTGACTTCAAATGAACTACATTGACATAGGCTAAACAGCCATCTTTTTGATGCATAATACTGTTATGTTCATCGCTGCTTCAAGGATTTGGTGTTCTCACTTTTTTGTTTTTTTGGACATGACCCTTTGTTTATTTGTTTTTATGAAAAAAAAAGGTAGCATTCTGGTGCTAGATAACAAGCAGATTCTGATAACCAAAGTATGCGATGTAGGCTGATAACTTCAAATGCATTAAATGCTTTTTAGCTTGCGTAGTCTAGAACAAGTTCATTCAAAAGGCAGTGATGTTTGTGTCGTTGCTGTTCACGCATGATTTGTTTGTTTCTTTTTTGTGCCAGGCTTATTTCGTTTATGGAGTTTCAAGCTTTCGAAGGCGTCTTGTGTCAGCCTGACGCGCTGTACAAGGCAGCCTTTCAAATGTTTGACACGAATGGATCTGGTTCAATTACACACGGTAAGGAAATGGTTTTTATGATAGTGCATAATTATCACAAGGAAAACAACCAAGGCAATGCATTAGCTCTAAGTCAGGAAAAATGTTTGAATGATTGTTGCAGTCTTTGAACTTGCTTCGACATCGAATTTAAAAATTCCAAAGTGTTCAAAACAAATAAATTTAAAAAAATTGCCGCATGTAACCCACCTAAAGAAGGTGGTTTCACTGCAGCACGTCATTGGTATGCCACCAAACAGCCTATTCAAAAGAAATATGCATTTTTTGCAAAGCCACACTTCAGAGTTAGTGGAGAATACTACCTGCACCACCATGCGAATTTCTTCAAAATTTAAAGGTTCATTATACGGGCTTATCTTGGATCCATATAACAAATTTTATATAAATAATGTATCGTATCGCTTGTAGCTTCCACTGTTCTGCTGTTCAATTTCTGCAACCGTTTCTTGACTTTACTTGAAAAAATAAAAAAGTGATATCTGCAGAAACCCTGTAATTTCACTTGCATAACAAACTACATTTTATGAGGCAAGTATGATAATTATATTCTTTGCTCTTTTTAGACGAGTTCGAAGATATTATCAAGAAGACAACGTTGTATGGAAAGATTCCATTTGACTTCAAGAGTGACTTTATGACGCTACACTTTGGTGCGGACCACGCAAGGACCGTCAGTTATGCAGAGTTTTCCCAGCTCTTACACGTGAGTGTGGACGGGATCTATGCTCCACCTTGTGTAGAGGGTTTTTGTTTCTCCTCGCTTGTTGTTGGTCTTAAAGGTATTCCCAACACGCTTGAACGTTTCCGACCTGTTGCTTCCGTGTAGGATTTCCACGAGGAGCATGCCGTCCAGGCGTTCAAGCAGTACGACAAAAAGCGGAGCGGTGCCATCGCCGCCATGGATTTCAATGACATCATGGTATCGGTCAAGTCTCACCTGCTCAGCGAGGACGTCAAGAAGAACTTGGTTGCCGTAAGTGGTTCCTCCCCCTATATCTAGCACGTCAATGTGTGCAACCTGACGGCGATATGAATACGACTTCGGGGAATGTGTTGTGCATGTCGCGTCAAGTGTTGCCTCCATTTTATTTTCAGGATCCTGCCTTACTGTACGTTTTGTAAGTAAGTCTAACAAACTGTAACTGTCACTGTGGTTGCAGTTTTTTTCACCAGTAGCTGTCTCTACTGTGTATTGCAGAAGTTAGTTGTTCATTGTCTCTTGATCTCCGACATGTGTTCACCTACAACCATGCTTTCTACACCTCGATGCTATGTAGCTTCAACACAAAAGAAGATAGATGGCAGGCATCAACTATTTGTCCTTTCCTGATCTAAAAATCATAAGCTCTTCTTACGTGGACAATCACTTTTTCACTGCTACATGACTTGGGCCAGGACAGAATTGTTTACGGCAACTTGTATATGGAAGCATTTTTTATTTGTGAACCTTTTCTTCATTGTACGTCAAGTTCTGTAACATTCAGAGTGGTGCACTTGTAATATAGGTCAGCTTTTAAAGTGTTAAAGAATGCTAGTTGATGCTTTGTACATTTGTATAAGAATTGACCAGTCATCTTGAGCCAGTGTTAATTAGTACTTGTCTAGTAGTTTTGCTGATATGCACTGAACTGAAAAATTTTCAAGCACCCAAAAAAGGGCTTCACACTCTCATACTCAACATTAATTCACGCCAACTGGCCCAGCTCTGTTTTACTGCAATTCCCATTCTCAAACCAATGTACGGAGATGCCAAATTGAGCTCGACAAATTTGGGAATACAATATGCAAATAAAGGAATTGCACCTTGCTCACAGGTTGCTGGCTCTGCCTCCGGTGGTCATCAAGTGACCTTTCCGTACTTCATGGCATTCAACTCGCTGCTCAACAACATGGAACTCGTGAAGAAAATCTACCTCAACTTCACCAAGGGCAACTCTTCCCTCGAGGTCACAAAAGGTCAGTGTGTAAAATGGCTTCTTTTGAGGCATTTTGGTGGCTCTATTTCTATCGTCATCAAGGCAACACAAAAGGCAAGATGGTGCCGCATTAGTCTAAGCTGTTTCTTAAATTTTTTACCCTTCCAGTTTGTGGTGATAGGATCACAACTGCTGTGTGACTGATTGCATTGTTTCTGTTAACGGTAAAACCACATTTAGTAAGTCAGCTTATAAATTGTTCCTGAAATTCAAGTTGTCAATTACTAATGCAGCCTTGCCTTAGGCATCATAAGGTTGTATCCTTGGTTGATAACTTCGAGAGACCACTTTCGCTTTGACGCAGCATTGAGTGCACCATCTCACTTGAGCAGCACACATCCACTCAACTTGGATGACAATGGAGTGTGATATGTACCAACAAGGCAAGTGCGTTATCAGCTGATAAAAGTGGTCAGCTGAACACATAAGTGGAAGGCTTGCATAATGCTATCGGTGAGCTGTGTGGCCAGCCACCAAAGAAAAAATAAAAATGCATTAAGAAACTAAAGTTGTCAAGTAGGGTAAACTGTGTGCAGAAAGGGGGAAGTTCGGTAAAGATGAAAGGCTGTAGAATCTCGGAAACAAGCACTCTACGAAAAAAATCTACAAAAAAGATTTGTGATCTCTTTCGTACAACAAACACCGATAAACTGGAAAGGATAACAGAAATATGACGGGAGATAAAATGTTGATAGAAGAGGTAAAGACTGTTCACCTCACCTATGTTTTTCTCCTGCTGTTAGCTTTGTTGTATGAAAACCACACAGACACACTTTGACCATTTGGATGATGCGAAAATTGGTGAAGATCACCAGTATAGCAAAATCTGCATTTATTTGCTTATTCAGTGGATGCGTATTGAAAACTGCATCCACGTAGTACGTATGATAAAATTGGAGTATGACCCCTGTTCTGCCTATGCAATTTACGTATTCTGCAGCAACTCGTTAAATTGCTTAAGTGTTTGTCGTTTCTTTGCTTGTGAAAGTGCTGTTGTTTTTATAAGTAATGCTTGGAATATTGTAAATCCATAGTAGAGAATACAGAAGGAAGATCATATGATTGTACGCAGCATTAAGCTTGTCTGCCTGATCTTAATCTGGTACTTCATACTCTTTGTTTCTGACCGAGTGATGCAGTAACCAACAAATCACTGCTATGCTTCAGAGGTCTTGCTGCACTAATCAGTCTGTCGCCTACTACAGCAGTTATTGCATTCTGTGCTCAAGGCCGTGGTTTTGATTCCCACTCATAGCAAGTGCATCCCAATGAGGATGGCACACAAAATGGCTTTTGTACTTGAAGGATTCCTACAATTCTTTTCCAAGTAGTCATGAAGTGACCTCACCATTAGTTTAATTTTCAAGAACCAACTGCTGCAAAAATTTTTGCAGTTCATCGAGCACAAGCAGAGTGCTGAAAGCTACACAGTGGAGGGAGGGACAAGTGCGTGAAATGGCACACTTTCTTTTTCTTCTTTTCTTCAAATGTGTGCGTGTAGACACTGCGTGTGGCTTCTTTACCCATGATGCAACGTGCCGCGGTGTGGGCAGCATGCCTCGGTGGTTGCTGTAACGATGCAGCTCACAATGTTCAAACCAGCCCATGGCCGTGTCTGGAGAAGTGTGAATGATTTCTAGCTGACTTTGAACTTTAAGTGTAAGTTCCCTGCCATGTGCTGTGCTACAATGCTCGGCTCGCATATTTACAGCAGCCTCAACCACTGATCAGCAATGTTTTCTGTTGTCAGGCCCTTTCATTTTAGGCTCGTGTTCAGAGCTTCAAGGCATTAGAACTTGTGTTGAATTCCAGTGGCGGAGTCATTGCAAGTTTTCCTGCACATTTTAGGGCAACCTTGCTCTATGGACAGGTAGAAGTCATGTATTGCAATGAGAAAGTCAAAATGTATTTCGAGTAGCACTCACTCAGTGGTGCAAGGAAAGTTGCTCCACCAATATCTGTTGTAGGCCGGTGTACTCAGATTTGGGTGCACTTTAAAGAACCCCAGGTGGTCAAAATTTCCGGAGCCCTCCACTACGGCGTCCCTCATAATCAAATAGTGGTTTTGGGACGTTAAACCCCACATATCTATCTGCTCCACCAATATCACCATTGCAAGCGAGAACTTAGTGTAACACGTTTTCTTTTACATTTCGCATGTTTAACCATTCACGGGGCATAATATGTGCAATGCACTCCACCTGTTGCTGGTGGCATTGTCACTTGTACCAGCTTCTCATAGTATGCACAATCATTGAGCTCTATTATTAGGGCTTTTCAAGATAAAAGTGGGACATAGTGTCATATTCTACTGCCCATTGAAAGGAAACCATTTCGGAAAAATAATCTTCTTTTATTTTTTTATGCAAACTTGGTGCTGCCGTGCAAACAACAAAGGACAGAGCCTATAAACACCAAATAAAAAAAATAACATGACAAAAAGTCAACTAAATTTCTATTCTGCATCTACTCGCAGAGGGCACTCAAGCAGCGAATGTGGATAATGGGTGTGTCTGCAAAAGCCTGATTATTGTCCTCGGAGAAAACTCAACTGCTTCCTCCACAGGAAGATACTTTCTTGCATGAAGCAGAATGAAAATACAATACTGCATTCACCTAAACACAGTGTTAGCTTGGCTACACTTCCAGAAATATATGATTGAAGGGTTGGTAATTTTGCATTGCACAAATTTTTGAGGAAGCTGTATGGGTAGGAACGAAGAAAACCACTACAGTTGATTCCAGATATAGTATCGAACTCAAAGGGGATCATGAAATAGTTCGATATATCGATAATTTGATATAAGAGATGTTCATACTGTAGGCTTATAATAATGCATTGCAACTCTTGAAATGGCTTTTGGAAATTGTAATAAGCGTTAGCATGACAATTAGCTCACAGTATGTTTAAGAAAAGGTGATGACTTTTGCTAGTTAGTGCACTTTATTTCGAGTGAAAATAGTCTGTAGATTTGTCTTGCCCTTTGCGTGCCATCATGTTCATCAAATCATCCTCGTTAATCTAGCATTGAGGCATTCAAAGTAAGCGAATTGAGCCACAATTGGTGGTGAGCGCCGATGCAAACTCTGTAGTGCGGTAAAATGCTATTTAGCGGTGGCGTTAGCGTCTTCATAACTACGCGACTTCACTTCCGCGGCAATGACAGTCACGGTATCGGCATCATCGCAGTCCTAAACAGCGATGTCGTCATTTACACCGATGAAGTCACTTTCTGTACTTTTGCCCGAGGTTACGCCTGGAAATGCTGATAATGGCAAAATTCACTGAGGCACCGTATGTGATTGTAAGCTCACTACGTATGTTGTTGCCAAAGCCCAGGAGGAAGTCGTTCCAAGCACCAGTCATCATTTTTATCGCTAGGAGCCACACAACGTTAAGTTCGATTTCCGATGGAAGATTCAGTAGTAACGAAGCAAGAACTACCGAAGTGCAAAAGCCAAAAGTGACATCACTGTCGACAAAGAACAAATGGCCATGTACTCTACCACTGGTATCTTCACGATGGTGATGGCACTAGGGGCTTGGTAGTAGAAAGCCAAAAGCAAGGAAAGTGTAGCCTCCGAGATTTGTATTCCGTAAGGCAAAACGCCAATAATACGTTACTAGGTTGCGAATCTCGAAGCCCATGCTTTTTGGGCCCACCTGACATCATACGTGAGCAAACAAGGAAGGGAATGTGCAGATCATGACGAGGCCGCTGAGGCACTTAGCATTCATGTGATTGCCCTTGGTAGTTGGCCCCTTTGGAAACACTGTGATCATGCGTTACAATCTACAACAGATCGTGCATCACATTCCTGTGCACTCACGAATGCTGCGCAACTAACGAATTGCACCGCCGTTTTGTTACCTGCGTGCGAGGAGGAATCGAAACTTGTTATAATGCGGCCAAAAAATGATCAATCTTTGTCAGAATAAATTCACTTTCCGGGCCTGAGCCAGGCGCAGCGTTCGACATATTGGATGTTACACTGTGTGGGAGTTCGATATACGTGGGCAACAGTGCTATACTTTTGCATGGGAATTTGACAGGATTTATCAACAGTTGGATGTAGGGAATAATTCGGCATCTCCAAGTTAGATATATCTAGGATCACCTGTATAATAGCTCATTGTCAGTATGAAATAAACTTTTCAAGCTAGCCTCTCACACTAAATTGGGGAGAGGGTCCATGCCTGAAATTTGATGAAGAAAGGATACAGCACGTGCTGATTTCTTTGGAGCCAGTATGTGCTGTCACCCAGCGGATACTATAAAAACAACTACCGAAACCGTTTCCTAGAACATCCACATGATTGCACTTAGGCTGAAAGCAATTGATGCAGTGGTTTTGATATTAAAATTTTGAACGTGGCAAAGAAAAAGGTGGTGCATATGAGTGCCACTGCCCTACCAAGGGTTGACTGATCAGTGGCACCATGGTAGTTGAAAATTTTTGTGACAATAGCCGATGACTCGTACGAGCTAAGAGCTGAAGCAGACGGCCTCGCGCTAGGAATTGTAAGTACACATCTTGAGACTAAAATTTCAACCCCGCTATGCTTCATGAATAAGGTTTTTGTTCCACTAGTAAAATAATTATATGGTTTTAGCGCAGCTCGGTTTGAGTGTGAAGGAAAGGTACTATACATTCAAGAAGGGGAAAAAATAGGTGACAGTGTGAGCGCTGTATAGTACCTTTCCTTCACGCTCAAACTGCGCTGCGCTAAAGCCATATCCTTTTATTATGCACCAGCTCGCCCAGTCAGCAGTACTTCCACTAATGAATTAGGAGCCATTGTAACGACGAAGCATCCCGTTCTCCCCTCAATTTACAATCCTGCACCTGTGGCATAACAAAAGCTACACGTAGGTTTGGGATGAAACATTCTTGTGTCATTCCAAGATTGAGAATGTGCTGCAATTATGATCTCCGGTGTGCATTGACACTTGTGTACACAACGTTGCAGAGGAGTTCCTGTACGCAGCACAACAGATGTCTCAGGTCACGCCGCTAGAAATTGACATCCTCTTTCAGCTCAGTGGCTTTCTTCATCAATCCACAGGGTGAGCGCATTGTAGATTCATTGCATGCTTTGGCCTGCTTGCTTCGATTGACACTTCACCAGTAACAATTACCATTTTAAGTCATGAACACAGTTTTCATCTGCAAATGGCTCAGTGGAAGTTGGATATGTTTAGGTTAAAACTAAAGCTTCACAAACATGATGCTGTGTCAGGAAATGGGCTTGTTCCACTCATTTTTTTCATAAGCTGCATTGTTTGCTTTAGCTATCTATATCTGGCTTTTATGCCATTGCATTACGTATGTTAAATTGTCCACATAAATGTGTTTGTCTTGTAACCTAAAACCTGTGCAAGTGATACAACCATGAGGAAACAGCAAATGACAGTTCGAGTCATTTAGAAGTTCGAGTCATTTGACAATTCGAGTCAATTAGAACAGTTCCTTGTCATGTGCACATATTTAGTGTCATTATGTGTAGCTGTCACTAGGCATTAGTGTCTTTCAGAATCACTTGCTAGGTTCAATCACATTCCGGAGCATTTCTTCGGCAAGTGTGCTAACTAATGTCATCTCTGTCATTAAACCCTACTGTAGTGAAGTTGCGGTAACAGCAGCTGTAAGACCCAACACGCAGCAAGTTTACAAACGTTATACATCATAGCTTAACATTTTTCTATGGGCAGCGATACTTCCAGGGCACCTGTTTCTGGGAGCAAAAAACACCATCACGTTGCTCATTTTCATTGGCCGTATTTGTAATGCCTTTACTCTCTCTGCATGTGTTGCTGCGAGCTCAAAATATCTCCTTAAGACCTAGTTTTCATACTAAAAAAAAAAAAAAAAGCAATGTTAATGATTCATTTGTAAGAAGCAGTATTCACTGCAAGTTCTTTTCTGAAGCATGTCATTCTTACTGTCATTGATTCTGAATGACTCTTTTCCTGTCATAAAGGTGACCAACTCGCACTAGGCTTGTGGGAATATTCAAATGCTTCGAATATTTGCACGAATAGTAGGGTATTTGAATTCGATTCGATTCAAATTTAAATTATTGAAAGTTTCGAAGTATTCGAAAGGAACGAATAGACGCATATTAATCCGAATGTATCGCTTGTAAGGGTGGTTTCATTGCAGTGTATGCATGCTAAATTGTGAAAGCACCTGTTTAAAAGAATTCCGCTAATTCGCGAAGCTCCCCTTCAAATTTAAAGGGGCCCGGAACACTTTTTCAGCATTGTCAGAGAAAGCTGCCGATCAGTTGTCGAGGCTACCAAGGTCACGCAAGCTAAACATCATAGCGCAGCATGCGGGGTGCTATTCACAATAAATTTTCAAAGTCAGCTAAAAATTGCTCCCATCTCTCGGCAAATGACTCCACAAGCTCAAAAAGCAGTGGGACGTATTTTCTTTCCCCATGACATCCTTCCCTGCTTAGCTTCTAACAGTTTTGTCGAAACGAGAAGAGAGAATGCACTTGCAGCGTGCAACAAATATTGTCAACTACACGCGCACTGGATGGATTTTAAAAATATTTGCGGCAGTGAGTTTGTGAGGCAAAAAGCTTCTTCAGTGAATGCCTTCCATGGCTACTTGTAAAAGCGTTGCGCAGCCCCTTTAAATGAAAATATTACTCTCAAATCAATTTATTTGATTAAGCTTAAATAAAAGCTAGTTATGACAGCTTATATGCTCTAAGTACAATAAATTTTAACATGTTACGTATTTTAAGTGTCATGACTCGCACCCTGCTGAAAGTCAAATCCTGCTACTACTCAAAGTTTTTTCGACTTCCTTTGAACAAAAAAAAAAAAAACACTCATTTGCATAGAGGCCCTATTTCAATTTAAAAAACAAAACATTGCGCAGGTTAGTTAGGTCATAATAAATATCCCATTTTTCTTTATATTTCATATATACTATTTTCTTTATATGTCATATATACTATTCGAATTTGATTTGAAATTATTTGACTAGGAATACTATTCCCTTCGAACCTAAAATTCACTATTCGCACTAGCCTAACTCGCACGCAATGAAGAAAAGTGAACTCCCTCAAAGTGACCATAAATTTGCCACTATTAATGTAAAGCTGCCTATACCAGCCAAATACTGTATACTTCTAAGAGCTGTAGCAAGTTGCTTGGAACATGCCACTAAGTGAGCACTCTTAACATCACCTCTATTATACAAAATCCTAAGTACATAACCTTTGTACAAATCACAATTGTTTCTTGCTACATTAAGACTTGGTGTGAATTTTATGTGTCATAGCATATTTGGTCATGTATTGTTGCTGTAGTTATTATCATGCGATGTTCTTTAACTCTTTTTTTAAAGCACAAAGAAAGGTATGTATTCATAGTGATCGATTTCTATTGAAGAGAAGCAGTAATTCATACTTGTATTGGTGTGTGTCTTTTGTATCTATTCAAATTGCACTTTTCTTTTTTCTTATGTGTCGTCTGTAATTTTTCTCGTTTCAAGCCATTCTGATCCTTGAGTTTTGTCATCACACTTTTGCCAACTTTCTCTTAGCTTGGGCACAGAGTTTTAACAGGCAAGCTTGTTCATTGACCCAAACTTTGTCACATTCATAGCTAGAGTGGTGATGCATTATTTAAGGAAATTGCTGCAGTGGCTGCATTTTCGATGGAGGCGAAGTGCTCAAGGCCTGAGTGCTTGGATTTAGGTGCACGTTAAGGAATCCCAGCTGGTCTAAATTTCCTGAGCCCTCAGCTACGGTGTTTTTCATAATGATATTATGGTTTTGGGACACCTAACTCCAAGTATTGTTATTATTTTATGAAAATATTTACCAATAAAAAGTTCTGGTTGTATAGTTGACAGATTGTGTCATCAGATAATTTGATATGTATTTTATCTTGCAGGCTTAACCAGGTACACTCAAATCTCATTATAACAAAGTTGCATCTTACACAAAAATAAGTTTTTTGTATGCGAAAGTTTATTATAGAGATTTATTCCTAGCTCTGTATCTACTGCAAGTTTATTTTTCATTTACTTCATTATAATCGAGGTTATAGCATAGCCACATCGGGGGGGGGGGGGGGGGAGGAAGTGAAGGTGAGGAGTTGTGTGAGCATGAAGAGGAGAGACAGGGTCGAACATGGGATAGGCACGTTTAGTACATTACAGCAAGGAGTGGGAAAGGGAAGTGAAGGCGAGGAGGAAGGAGAGGATGAGTACGGCCGGCACAATATAGCTAGTGGGTGCAAAAGGGGAGTGAGCAAGACCGATGTGAGTGTAGGGTAGAGTATAGCAGAGCCGTCCGTGTGTAGTACAGTATAGCGAGGGTAGGAAAGAAAGTGCAGAGAGGGCAGCTCACGAATTTAGTTTACTTTTTCCTCATTGATGCCGAGCAGGGGGCAACGTTTGAAAAGCCAGTGCACATGTTTTCGTGAACCCAAGTGTCGCTGAAAAGCAGGCGAATTACTTCTCCACGCTTCTTGCAGCTTCCACGCTGAGTGCAGTTGTATACATTTGTACTAAACTCCTTTTTTCTAGCTTTTGAAAGTAAAGTATCTACCTGTAGGTAAGGTATACTAAAATATAAATTGGTGCTTGTAGTTGTGATCTACATTGCCTTCACTTATTTATTTTGAGCTAATGATTAATGTTTAGAGTTTACTTCTTTTCATATGATTCTTTAGATATTTAACAGCAACAATGGCTATTAAACAATTTTCTGCTTGCTTGGTTCAACCGAGCCCCGCTAGATGGGACCAGCTGTCCAGCCTAACCTGGCAAAAACGAAATTTTTAATCCACTCACACCGTTCCCCATAGGAATGAATGCCAGGCTGTTCTTTTGTAGATGAATCAAACAGCTACGGGCAAGCAACATTTTATTATATCTCTTGATGTACAGAAAGTTCTTATTTTATGGCAGCAAGTTTGATTCTTAGTGATTAATTGTAGTTGGATGTTCTCATGAATCGGATCATTTCGCAAATGTCCCATTTGTGGCACACATCACCCGATACATTTAGCTTAACTTCTTGGTAAGTAAGGCACTGCTGTTTATAATATTGCTGTTTTAGACGTTGTCATACATTGAATTTTCACTCTGAAATAAATTGTCTTTTGCCTTTAGTGTCCCTTTAAAAACAACGTGAAGTAAGCACAGACAAGAATTTGAGCAGAACCAGGGTCCACGTTTACTCCACACTGTTTTCAACTTGGGTGCACTGGCTTGCATCATTACTTTCCAATTTCTAGAATTTGGAATGTTGCTTTTCATGCAAACTCACGGGAGCCAGATTTATCTGTTATAAGTGACAATGTGGCTAAGAACATTATATTGGGCTATTTATATCGCTGTGAAATGCATAAAGAAGTTCACAGTGAGACAGCTGCTCATTTTAATAAGCAATATGTTGTTGAAATTGGTATTGCTGGAAAGTGATTCCAACTGTACAAGGAGTGCACGGACACTGTAGTGGTTAGCTTGATGCAAAAAAGTACTTACAGTAACTTAGAGTGTTGTCATGTCATTGACGTGTAAGCCTGCAATTATAATTTGTGTTTTTACTTCTCTCTTCTGACTCCCATTGTGTAAAGTAAACTTCTTCCTGCAAAATAGGACGTGATATTTGCTCATGCGAAGCCACACAATTCACTGTTTCTCGCGAGTATAGTGATTCTCAGTACGGACAATAAAAAAACGTCAGCCTGCTTGACGAGTTGAATGTGTGATACTCTCGCAAAGTACGGCAGTCAGGAAAGTTATGTTAAAAAAAAATAATAAAGACCAGCTGCCTTACAGGCATACCTTCCGGCAAAGCACCCAATAGCTCTGTGCTCTTGCTTTACCCTCCCACCCTTTTATTCCTACTTTCTTTCTTATTTCCTTTCTTTTCATTATTAGCATTGTGTTCATTGTTTACATTGGGCCATACCCCCAACTATTTCATTACAGTTCGTGCTACTCTGAATCCGTTTGCTACCTCAACATTGTTAACAGATGCAGCGTTCTAATCATCACATCTACAATGCCTCAAGCTGCGTGCTAATACAGT